CAAAGGGGCCCGTTTTGAAGACGTGGACGACATCAAGATGGGATGACGGAGCTGTGGAGGATCTCGGAAGAATCCTTCCAGGAATGTATGGAGAGGGCTGGGAAAGTGCATTAGACTCCAGGGAGATTACTTCGAAGGGGAAAATTTGTAGTTTGTAGTTTGTATTTAAAATACATCTTTTGTGACACCAGTCCTGAAGCTTTTCTGAAGCACCTCGTATATAAGACCAATTCAAAAGATCCATCCATCCATTATCTATACACCACCTAATCCTCATTAGGGTCGCAGGGGGTTGGAGCATATCCCAGCCAACTCAAGGTGAAGGCAGGGGACACCCTGGTCTATCACAGGGCTAGAGACAAACAACCAAGCTCACTCACATTCATACCTACGGACAATTTAGAACCACCAATTAACCTCAGCATGTTTGAGGGCTGTGGGCAATTCAAAACATGTCATCTCATAGCACTTCCCATGGTAAGGTGAAGACCTTAGAATTTTTAAATCACAAAGTTCCCTTTTGATTCCCTTTCAACAGCACTTGACGACAGTGGGAAGAACCCAGAAAAAAACTCCCCTTTATAGGGAAGGAACGAAAAACCTCGGACAGAACCAGGTTCAGGGAGGGTGGCCATCTGCCTCGACCGGTTGGGGTGAGGGTGGGGATTTCAGCATTTGTCCATGGGTGCGTCTGAGAAGAAATATATTCAAGGTTTAACAAAGGTCCCGATATTGATAGCGTGATGCTACATGGAATGCTGTCTCGTGACTGTTGCTGCTTGCAGATACCCAATACAAGGGACAGTGCCATGCTCCCTATGCCTGCCACAAGAAGTGACTCCAGCAAATTAGCAAGTCGATCTGTGAGAAAAATAAATTAAGGCCACCAGTTGAATAAAATACAGGGATGTCCTGATTCAGTTTTTTCTTTCTTTTTTTTCGATCAGAGTTATTTAATGTTTAATATCTGCCAATACTGAATCCTGCACCAAGACTATTGCTACTTTCCTAGTTAAAAAAAACTTCATACTTCAAGTACAATAAAGTTAGCAAAATTAATTAAGTGTATGTGCCTAACAAACAAATAGCTCTGCAAGAAAAATTACATTCCTGCAACTATGCTGTTCCTTAATGTTACGTAGGTGGTCATGAACCTTGGTGTGAAGCTCCAGTAGAACACTGTCTGAAAGTAGTGTGAGAAGGGTAGAGTCTACTATGGCTCCACAATATCCTAAAAATGGTGAAAACCTGTATTGTCTTCATGCATGTCAGAAAGTGCACTGTAATCTCCACCTTTGACTGCAGATTACAAACAGACAGCAGTTAACCAAGATTGTTGAATTCATTTGAGAAAGAAAAACAATCAGCTGTTCACACACCGGATGACCTCCAGTACAGTTGACGGAGATGACAGAGAGAGAGAGTGTGTGTGCTTGTGTATGTGTGTGTTACTTCATGACCTGAAAGCTTAACACAAGCCAGATGTTGAGACAGCATGGAGAGAAAAGAATGTGAAGCAGCCCCCTGACTATTGTTTGTGTTGTGTGTCATCGCTGGACAAACAAACACACAGATATTAAACTCCCAGTCATGGTCCTGTTGTTCATTCTTTTGGTTCCTTAGCAACAGTGACTCAAACCACAAGATGGAGACAGGCTGAACTAAAGATGTCTCATCATCATGGGCAGCTTTTCACTATATTGAATATTTGTGGGAAGCTAGCAGAGGCCCGTGGGCCAAATCTGGCACCCAGACAAAATTGTTATAGATCCATAGTTTTCATGAAAACAGGCCTGTGTACATCTCAGCCTAAAACAACATATAATCAATGATTTGCAGCTTAAATGGACAGCAGTCAAATAGTCATAATGGAATTTTTTACCCAAAGCAGCAATAACAGCATTTGCATTCAACCATAATTGCAACAGTTCACAGTTACAGAAAAAGTTCAGATAATCTGCAATAACAATATCAAATTTTAGCTTACCCTCTGAAAGTAATGTTAACATAAACACATATACATTTTTTAAAAAATATAATAATAATCCCAAAAAACAGAAATAATTTTAGACTTTAAACTTTCTGATGGTTCTTGAACATATTTCACCTCTCAGCTCTGCCACCATTTGAGTGTGTGTGTGTGTGTGTGTGTGTTTGTGTAAATGGGTGAATGACAAATACATTGCTTGGTGTTTTGGAATCTAAGGTGAATAAAGTATAAATAATTGTGCACCATTTACCATTCACCTGCAGCTCCATCAGTAAATTACAAAAATCATTGCTTAAAATTTTAGCAAAATCCCTTTACTCGACATGTCTCATTTCAAATGTATCAACGATTCTCCATTTGCACCACATTCTGCAAAAAAAAAGAAAAAAAAAGAAAAAGCTCTGTACTCCTCACCACAACTGAGATGTCTCGACTGACTTTGCTGTGAACAACAGTCACATGACAAAAATTCAGAGAGTTTTGGGCAGAAACCCCTTTGTCACTCATCATTTTAAGCTCTGACTGTTGCCATCTTGGCAGCAAATGACTCCTCCTGCTCATCCAGAAATGAACAAAGATGTGGAGCATTCGTGGAGTTGAGATGGGCCATGGTCTGTCCTACAAGTGCACAAAGCAACCACGCCCTTATTTATGCTGAACATCAAGCCCTAATACAATACAAATGGGTGAGTTAATAGTAAAATACAGATTTAGTGGCACAACAACAGTTGTAGGTTTGGCTCTCCTTGGTCCTCATGTTCCACTATCAGAGGACTACCACGTCGAAGCATTTGGACTTTCTTATTTAGAGTTTAAAGTGAGACAAGAAAGGCCGTAATGTACTATTTGATTAGGGGTTGAGTCTGACATCCATGCAGCTGGCTCTTTGTCTACCCTCTCACAAGATCAGTGTTTGAAGGGGAAATACATCTGCTGGTAAATCTACTGGCATAATGGGAAGGAAATACTGTACATACCTCTGACAGGCCGGCTGGAGTGTTCAGGGTCAGAGGTCAGGTCAGGTTAGGTGTCCCTGGTTTATCTACGTTTAAAGGAAACAGGACAGAGAGAATAAAACACTTCATATGAAGAATCTTTGGATTTCCTGACTCGGTTACTGAGTGTCCGGGTTAAACACAATGTGTTGCTAATAAATTAAATCCGTCTTTTGCACATTTCCTTGATATGGTATTAAATGTCATATCATTGTCAACAGACTTTTTACAAGCACCCAGCCTAACGCTACAGAAAACAACTCTGCTGAAGTCAGAGTCAAAGTGCTGGGGATGGAAATATCAAGATACAAAAGATGTTCCATAATCATGATCAAACAGTTCTAAAATCTGGCCAGCGACAGCAGAGAACAATTAGCCTATAGGGCTAACTCTGGCACATTTACATTAATATGTCTGTTGATCAATAAGGTCTGTCACATAAATTAACAAAAGAAATGCATTGTTAGAGAGCACTTTCCCCGAGAGGGTTTTACAGGCTGTAAATCGACAAATCTAAAACAGCTACACAATGAAATGATCATGCTAATTAAAAGCAGGTTTAGGGAGGGAAGAGAAAGTGCAGCAGGCTTATAAAACAGCCAATTTAATCTCAGTAAAGTTTTCACTGACAAATATATACTTGCAGTTTTCTCCATTTACAAGCATGAAAGTGTTTCTGCATGAGACGTCAGTTTTGTTCTATATGTAGAGATTAATTATCAAAGTAAACATGAAGTTTGTTTTCATTTCTGTTTTAAGTTTTAATAGAAATTGAATCTACCAACTGGCTTTTGGTGGTGAAGTCAGACACTTTTGATGGGCCGAGACCATCTCTTACAATGGGGTGGCACAATGTCACGTTAATTTCTGTTTTCAGCAAACCTCAACTGATTAAGAATATGGAACTGCTGTGTTTGATTGGTCAGTAGTTCATACCTCATGGTGAGCCTAAATCATATACACTTGGTTGTACAGCCGTCCTCAAATTTATTCATATCCTCCCATTAAAGAAGGAGAAAAAAACAGCTGTCACTGAAATAAGTTGAAATTGACAAAAGTAACAGTAAATATAAATTTCATGAAAATCATGACATTTCTTTTGAATTTTGGTTCAACAGAAATAGTTTTAGAAAACAAACAAACAAACAAACAAAAACAAGCAAACAAGCATGATGGGACCTGGAAACTAATATTTTGTTGAACAACCCTTTGACGCTGCAAGGTGGCGCAGTTGGTAGCACTGTTGCTTCGCAGCAAGAAGGCTGCCAGTTTGCACACCCTGGGGGCACTGGGATCTTTCTGCGTGGAATTTGCGTGTTCTCCCCGTGCAGCGTGGGTTCTGGTAAAGGGATCTAAGAATCAGGAAACTGTGTTCTTGCTTTATGGTGTTCATCAGTATACTTGTGAAAGCATTTGAAGAAGTGACGAAACCTTTAGTAGTGCCTTCCTATCTTTTTCTTGGGTGTTACAAAGACCATTTGATGGGATGACAACCACTGAAAGCGGTGCATCATTGAAGGTGTAGCTGTAGGATCTTGAGTTGGAGTGGTGTTTTGTCCCCCCCCCATGCAACTACAAACAATTTCATTTTGCGATTGTTTGTCGTACTATGAAAAAACAATATGACTTGCATTGTCACCAAAATGTCTACGGGTTTTCAAAGGACCAAAAAGTTCTTTCACCTCTTTGTTACTATCGGTTTCCACCACCTGTGAAGATTTGGCAGTCAGCTGATGTGTCAAGAAAGGACAAAATTGGTTCTTATTGTGGATCAACTTCTACAATTCCAGGGGAGTATTTTCAGTGTCACTCACAAATCAGAGGATTTCTTCTGTAGCTCCATGAGCTCCTGTTGAAGTACCATGAAAGCATAAACACCCTGAAAACTGAAATGTCCTGAACCTATAGAAAGTACTGCCTTCTAATGCCATGAAGGATAAAGGATTTTCTTGGGGTAAATGATCAGAATTTTGCAGCAAACTTTATTCTCAATAGCTTCCTTTGGTTTTCTGCAGAAGTGGGACTCCAGCCTGAAGTTGCTTGCAGAGGGCTACGCTGCTAAATGCATCTGGAACCACAATCCAGAGCTGGAGGACACCGGGGAAAACCTGTTTGCTGGAACTGGGCCTCTGGACCTCAGAGAGGCTCTCGAGAAATGGTTCTTGGGTGAGTTGTAGAAGTGTGTATTTCTTAACACCAAACAGTAGACTACTGCTGTAATGGTGGTTTTGCTTGTAATGCTTGCAAGACAGCTGATAACACTGTCTATGTAGATTTTCAGTTGTCCAGGTCATGGTAAAGTGCTTCAGTAGAAAACAATTGGACTTTTTTGGTTCATAATGACATTTGATCTGTCATCCAAGAGGCTTCCTCATTTCTGAGGGGTTGGGAGTCCCAGGTATTTAATTAGAACAAAAAACAAACATGGGCTGTAAGGTGGTGCAGTGGTTAGCGCCATCACCTTGCAGGTAGAAGATCGCCGGTGTGATCTTTCTGCGTGGAGTTTGCATGTTGTCCCTGTGCAGTGTGGGTTCTCTCTGGGTTCTCCGGCTTCCTCCCACAGTCCAAAAACATGTTGAGGTTAATTGGTGATTCTACATTGTCCGTAGGTGTGAATGTGAGTGTGCATGGTTGTCTGTCTCTAAGTGTAGCCCTGTGATGGACTGGCGACCTGTCCAGGGTGCCTAGGGTGACCCTAGTGAGGATTAAGCAGTGCATAGATAATGGATGGATGGATGGATGGATGGATGGATAAACAAACATGACTTAAGTGGTAAATGGTCTGCAGTTATACAGCGCTTTTCTACCTTTGCGGCACTCAAAGCGCTTTACAATGTTTCTCATTCACCCATTCACACACACATTCATACACCAATGGCGACAGAGCTGCCATGCAAGGCGCTAGCCTGCCATTGGGAGCAACTTTGGGTTCAGTGTCTTGCCCAAGGACACTTCGACTGTGGAGGGGGCGGGGATCGAACCATCAACCTTATGGTCAGAGGACAACCGCTCTACCACCTTAGCCACAGCCGCCGCTTCTGGCTGGTTGTGACTCAAGGTGTTAAATTTGGCAAAACTGCCTGGGGATGGATCTCAGGACTGCACTGTAAGATTCTGCTAAGTGGTGTCATAGACTCCTTCTCCCATTTAGACCCAGCTGTACTAGTTTAACATAGATGACTTTCTTAAGGACTTACATGCAATTTCACCACTATTAACACGTACCTTGTGTCATGCCTCCCCAGGCAGTTTGTCAATTAGAACTCAGGAAGCCTCTTAGATGAGAGATTAAATGTCTTCAGAGGAGGAACCCAGTTGCCTTGTATTGAAGCACTTATGAATACTTGTAATACCCCTAAGCTTTATCTATATACCCTAAATGCTTCCTAACATATTGCACGCTTTTATTTTTGATATTTAGTACCTTTAAATCTTGCAAAGGAGTACCTCCAAAGCATGGTATTGATAGTTGTGTTCTTCCCCTATCTATTCTGTTATGTGCAGAACACCTGGACTACGACTTTCAGAACAACAGCTGTGATGAAGACAAGATGTGTGGACACTACACACAGGTCAGATGCAAAGGAGTGCAACTATCTGGAACTAACATTATAGATATGTTTAATGTCATTCTGAGCAGCTAAAACAACAGTTAGTGCTGCCTGTCATTCAGTTTGAACCAGTCACAATAGTTGCAGATCTTAAACCTTATTATGCCAAAGTCCACATTGTTGTGCACGCAAGGCTTCCCACTGAATGTTGATCGAGCAAAGCATTTAAACAGTGATAGCAAAAGTAATGGAGGCTGCTTTTAGAACATTCTATGAAATAGGGAAAGCTCATCAGCAACAAGTTTGTTGAGAATGAGAGCTTCATCCATCAGAGACTTGTTTTAGCCTCAGACTACTCTGACGTGGCAGTAAATCTTTAAGAAAAAACCAAGACCCAGCTCTTCACTGAACACCGTTGCACTTGACAGACTGAAAACTAAAAAACCCTCAAACAAACAAAAAAAAATTCTATTACCTCCCATACAGCCTGTTATTGGCATAAATACCCTGTCATACTTAAACTTGTTCTATGGCACTTACCTAGATTGTTTTCTCCTGACTAGATCCTTGCTTGTGTTGTATCTGCTCTCAAATGTACATCGCTTTGGATAAAAGCGTCTGCGAAATGAAATTGTAGAATTTTAAATCAGCTTTTCATGTTACAGTGCCATGTTATGTTTGAAAAGAAAGCTGCCCCACACTCGCTGCAGCCTTCACTGTATCTGCAGATATCTGAAGGGTCATTTTACCAAAACTCTAACTCAAGATATCCATCATTACATTCTGAGGAGTTCTGGTTCAAACTTAATTTAAGATATCTAGAAGGGACAATGTGGATATATTGAAGCTGTCTTGAATTAGCTTTGTGACTGGTCAAAATGAAACTGTAGCTATGGCAAGTTGCTTTAACATTTAATAGCTAGACTTGATATACAGTGCATATAATTCAATTCTTTCTAGTCAAAAAGAACAGTTCTGATATCCAGACATTCTTCCGAGGACAAATGACACCACTTTTACCATTCATGTGTATTTCGTTAAAGAAATCTATAAATCACCTACAGATATTCACAATGTGAATTGCAGATGTTGTATCTGCAGTTATGACTATCTATAGCTTTCGTTTCAAATTTCACTGTTTATTTCTGACAAGTTATAATTGTATTTCAAGATACCTACATTGTCCTTATAGGTGTGATAAATTAGGTTTAAACCGGTCAGAACGACACTGTAGATATCTAAAACTGGAACTAAAAAATACTGTCCACTAAAATGTAATTACAGATATATAGAGAAATAGTCAAAAGGATGCTATTGATATCTGCAATTTTTAATCCAGAGATTCTAACTCAGTTGTCAAATGTTAAAATAGCCCAAGGAATGCTCATGTATGTGTGGACACCTCAGTTTGAAGTGTCTGTGTTTCAGATGGTGTGGGCAGACACACACAGAGTCGGCTGTGCCTTCCACATCTGTAACAGTATGGAGGGACTGGACTGGGAGAGAGTCTCCTTCCTCGTCTGCAACTACTACCCACCGTCAGTACCATTTCTGCTGCTGCTGCTGCAATAGTACAACAAGCACTCCCCCTTGTGGACAGTAATAATATTCTATGAACAGTGTTTACCGTATATGTCTTTGACTTTAAGTGAGGACATATTCAAGTACATAATATTAATTATAATAATGATTGCAACACTCGCTGCAGTTGTTGTATCAGTGTGACGTTGTGTGTGTGCTCAGGGGGAACTATGAAGACGAGCGGCCGTATGTTGAAGGTGACTGGTGCTCCAGATGTCCTGAAAACCTCCAGAAGTGTGAAAACAACCTCTGTGGTAGGACATGCTCTCTTTGCTCCTCTGTCCCTGCTGCTCTGTGTTTACCAACGCCTTTAGAATAGAATAGAACAGAATACTTTATTGATCCCCCGTTAGGGGAAATTTACAGCAGCATCCAAAAATATAAAAAATACAAGAAAATACCAATAATTAGGTAATATGCAGGGCTGCAAGGCGGCTCAGTTGGTAGTACTGTTGCCTCGCAGTTAGAAGGTCGCTGGTTTACGTCCCGGTGGGGGCACCGGGATCTTTCTGCGTGGAGTTTGCATGTTGTCCCTGTGCAGCGTGGGTTCTCTCCGGGTTCTCTGGCTTCCTGCCACAAGTCCAAAAACATGATGAAGTTAATTGGTGATTCTAAATTGTCCGTAGGTGTGAATGTGAGTGCGCTTGGTTGTCTGTCCCTAAGTGTAGCCCTGTGATAGACTGGCGACCTGTCCAGGGTGTCCCCTGCCTTCGCCCTGAATCAGCTGGGATAGGCTCCAGCGCCCCCGCGACCCTTGACCCGAGTAAGGATTAAGCAGTGTATAGATGATGGATGGATGGATACTTTACCACCTCTACAAACTGCACTTTTCCTCCTGTTTTTGCCATTTGTGGCTGATAAACTGTGTCATTTTGTGATTTTGTTTTTTTGAAGAAAACATTCTTTCGAACATGCTGCGACCCTAGTGAGGATTAAGCGGTGTATAGATAATGGATGGAAATAATGTGCATCCCCTGTGAGAGATAGAGACAGAAGCCTAAGCATGCTCACACTTACCATTTAACCTACTATGCATGTCTTTGGAGAAAGCCAACATGGGGGAACATGCAAAGGTCACACAGAGAAGCCTCAGCTGACTAGCAGGTTTGAACCCAAAACCTTCTTGCTGTAAGTTGACTGTACTGACCACTACAGCCATCAGTCCATTTCGCAATCTATTTTTAAAAATCTTTTTACTTGCTTTAAACCAGACAAAAGATTTTAGCTATTATCTGTTCTACACATTCACTTAAAAGAGGTCATATTTGGCTTTTTAGGTTTCCCTTTTCAATGACAAGACAATGACAAAGGGAGTTTCTGGAAATGCTTCGTCTGAGATCCTGATTTTTCTTCTGTTGCTTATCTATGTCACCATATAACACATTTGCATGTCTCGTGGCGGGTTTGTCCCTCAAACAAAGCGTTAGCAGCTGCCTCACTGTACACCATTATTTTCTCCTTGGAGTCACTTCTACTGGAGGTACATCTCTCTGCCTATACTCATTGATCTGGCTCTATGGTACGTAACCAATGTTACATGGCTTGGGCCGGCTGACCAATCAGAGCAGAATGGACTCTCAGGATGGAGGACTTAAAGAGACAGAAGCTTAAACAGAACTATCAGACAGAAGGCGAGAAAATGTGCTGCAGCAATGTACAGAATGAGTTGCCTAGGTATGAAAAACTGAATATCTTTAAGTTTCTGAAGGATCAAGGCATCTGAAGACGCCAAGAGAAATTGTAACATGACTTTTTTATAAAAAGGTGCTCTTAGGTGCAGTTTTAAAATCCTGATGTACTTCTTTTTTTGTGATTTCTAGTTGCTGACACAGTGGAGGAAGAGGTCGAAGACGAAGAAGAAGGTGAAGAGTTAGTGACGGCTGATCCATCCCGCCAGCCTCCAGAAAGTAATCCTCCTGCAAGAGTCGACCCCCCTGTCCAGCCTGCCACCACTGACAGTGCTCCCAGTATTCCCACCACCCTCTTCAAATGGTTCTCTAAAGACACCCCAGCAACGACCACCACTACCAAAGTCCCTGTAGCTCCCTCAGCAACACTGGGAAAAGATGAAGAGGTCAAAGAAAGCGTGGAGGAGGAGAAGGAGGAGAAGGAGGAGAAGGTAGAGCAGGAGAAAAGAAAGGAAACTACAGCTAGCAAGGCGGCAGAAAGGGAGATGGACGTAACACGAAAAATACACGAGGACATCAAAGTATCGAGTGCTGCTTCGGTATTGTCACTTTCGGTCCTGTTTGCCTGCCTGATCGCGATGCTGACTCTCAGGCTGTGAGGAGGAAGAGGATGACCTCACCACTCTTGCATCAACTGCACATTTACCTTGTTAACCCGCCCTGCGGTAACAAACTGTTTCCCCTGTAGAGCAAAATAGGTCAGTTAATAATTCACATTCACCAGAAAACAGCTGCTGCAACATCTGCATGAAGTCTGGGCTGCGATCTGGGTCGAATAATGTGAGCCAAACCTGCTTCAACCTGGTGGGAAAACCTAAATATTACTGCCAGGAAATTACACAACTAAAATTGCTGTTTTCATAAAGAGGAAACTAATTGAACTCATGTGCTTTAAGGGTTTTTCAACCACTTAAAGAAAAAAAAAAAAAGACTTCCTTTGCAGAGCTTCTCCATCAGAACTGGTGTCAGATAGCAGCCTTCAAATTAGCATCATTATTTGCTTATGTATAAACCTTTCAGACTGTTGTTGCTGTTAGCTGAGTGTATCAGGAGCATTAAGTTCTGACCAAAGTTCACAATACACCCACCAACAACTGCAAAAATGGTTCAAATAGCTACAAAGCTTCTTCAAAATAACAAATGTGTGTCGAAAATTACTCTCTTTTTTTCTGAAATGACACAAATTAGTTTTTCTTGAAATATAAAATTGTCTACAATTGCTTGAAGTTTGCCCAATATTAGTTTAATAGCTAAGAAATTTGTCCAAAATGCCTTGAAATGTGTCAAAAAACACACACAATTTCTCCAAAATGAGTTTAAATTGCTCAGAAGGACTTAAAGTTACAAAATTACAAAAAGTTTCCCAAATGGTCAAAACTTGCCCAAAAGGTTTTGATTTTTGATGGATTTTTCAGTTGACTGGAAGGAAACACAGAAAATAGAAAGCTTCCACAGATGTGTTATAAGAACTGGAATTTTTGGGATAGATTAAAGCATGTATGCAAAATTTAGTTCAGAGCAGAACGTGATTGCTTGACATTTGTTTTTCCACTAAAAAATTCTCATTAAGTGATCAAAATGTAATATGGAACAGCATGTTGAGTTTGCTAATTTGTGAGAAAGCAACAGCTAGCGCTTGCTAGCGCTAATTTGTTCTTCTCTCTGTATTTCTGTGACTGAGAAATCAGTTACAATGTTCCAAAATATTTGTAATTTGAAACTCAATGTATCATCATATGTCAATAAGGCAACAGTTGTTGTTCAAAGAGTAAAATTACCTGCAAATAAATGTAAATAATTGCCTTAATTACTTACAGAACAGTTGTGAATGGAAACAGACTAAACAGACAGAAAACTTTGCTCTACATTTGGATGAAAACTCAGCAAATGAACAACACCGGACCTGATTCAGAGATCTAAAACTAGTTGTTTCCCTTGACCTCTAGTCTTTGTGCTAAGCTAGGTTAATAATGTTCCACATCTTAATTTGACCAGTAAGCACAAATACATTTCCTAATGCTGCTTAAATTCAGAAAAGAAAAAGAAACGATGTTTTCCCAAAGTGAATTCTACAGTTTATTACTAAGTGGTGCGGATTCACTCTGCTAATAATGTCATCAAAGAGTAATAATGAAGTGCTGAAGTGGTCTCTTAAGAATACATCCAAAAAAATATTGTTATATCATAATTTGTCTTTCGGTGTTTAAGCTCTGCAAACTCAACTGCCCATGACACCAGATCCACAGAGCTGTACTTCCTCCGTACTGAAAACCAAAAAAGATTTAAGTGGTGTGGAGAGACGCTGCTCACCAAACTGCAGGCCCCCACAGATCGCCTCTTCACGTTGGGCCATGCATCGTTTGTATCTGCAGGGCGAAGGTGGCATCAGTGCATTTCTGTCTCATAGAAAAGAGACTTAAAAATACAGCATCATCTCGTGTGGAAAAGCACAATACTACGATCGAGTGGAAGCAAAAGGAGTTGGAGACGTTTTTATTGTGATTTTATTACAGTTGAATTGCAGGAGAAATGATTGCTGAACTGTGTTTTGAACTGACGACCCTGCTTCTTCTTCTTCTTTTTTCACAAATACATATCTACTGTACACTTTATATTCTCTCAGACTGGAACTACAACTGGACAGCGTCTAATGATTTACCAACTTTACCGTAATTATCTGTAATAATTTTCACAGAGATTGCTGCAAGTGTCTGTATATAAGATTAATAAAGAAATAAACCTTATATGTTCTCTTTTTGACAACACATGCCTGGCTCCTTCTAAACACAGATTTGTAAACATATGATGCAATTAAATCTTTATTTAGATTTTGATTCTTGATCCAAACCTGGTATTTTCCTCCACCTCACTTGGGATAAAACTCTTTTTGTATAGAGAATAAGATGAGAATACTGAGCATAGGTTGTTTCCAACTGCTGTTTTGAGGGAAGAAAACAGTACCTATTCCAGAGTAGGCACTTCTGAGCGACCCTGAAAAAAAGCTGTGTGGGCCTTAAAGCTGAGGACAAGAAGTGCCATTTTTCTGCCCTCTAAACAGGCGTCTTTCATTGCAGGACCTTGATAAAGGTGGTGAAAACATTTCAGCCTTTTCAGCTGTTCTGTTTCCATTGCAGTGTTGGATCCAACAACTTTCAAAACAACAGCAAGAAATAGTGGTTATTAACTCCAGTTCTATGATTGTGTAGAAAATACCATGTTATCTGGAAAAAATAATAATAACTGTAGTCTCAAGATCACAAGGAAATTATCTTGCAGTAATAGTTCTCAGTAACAGGTTAATTATCTTGTGTTTTTCCTGAGATGAGGGGGATGATTCATGAGTGCCACTGGTTGAAGAAGTACTCAGATCCGTTACTTAAGTAAAATATCATAATGTAAAATTATTGCATTGCAAGTAAAAGTTTTGCATGAAAAATCCTACTTAAAAAAATACTTAATACTAATACAAGCAAATGGTAGTTAAAGTGTTGCAATTAAAGTACTGGCTTAGTCCCTCATATTGATATATTTTTTATGTCTGACATTATTAAATTACTCACAGTGAAGCCTCAGTGTGTCTGCAGTTACTGCAGTAGGTGAAGCTAGTTTGAACAACTTCATCCAGATGTGTGTATATACAGGGAAAGCACATAAATCTGAGGGCTTATCACATGATTAATGAGCTAGGAAAGAAGCAAAAAAGAAGTTCTGAAATTTATTTTCCAATTTTAGACTTTTTCTCTAATCTTTGATTTTTGCTGAGAAACTGCATCATTTGAACATTAGTTGAAATGAAACCACGTAAGAAATCTCAAAAGTAAAAAAAATGCACTTTGGTAGAGCCGGTAACAACTCTTGAACCAGTCTGCGATGGCAGGAGTCAGTAAGTCAAGGTGCCCACCAATTGCTCTGTCTGGGTTGGGAGTGAGTTGCTGCCCCAAGTGAAGGACTTGAAGTCTTCTTCTTCTTCTTCTTCACCATTGAAAAGGAAATGGAACGTTTGATGGACAGATGGATGGGTGCGACATCTTCAGTGATGCAGGCACTGTACCTGACCGTCGTGGTGAAGACGGAGCTGAGCCAGAAGCTCTCGATTTACTAGTCCGTCTACGTTCTAACCCTCACCTATTGCCATGATAGTCTGTAGGCTTGCAGGACTCAGAAATTGGGTGAGCAGCTTGAACATCTTTCCACTGAAAGGAGCCAGCTGAGATGGTTCAGGCATCTGACGAGGATGTACAATTTACAATTTCGTTTAAATGGATCTGACTTGTTTGCCCAGCACATCCCACACATGCTTGATCCAGTTGAGATCTGGGGAATGTAAGAAGAATTTAAGGGAGAAAAATAAAGATTTCATGGAAAGAAAGAGGTATAGAGCAGGAATGAAGAGGGCGATAGAGGGCAGTGACGGACTGAGACTCCCACTGCAGTGAACCACTGCTGCACCACTGTACAGGCCTCTGGTGGCCACAACACCAACAACCTTCCCCCAGGCAGGCTGTGTGAGTTTGCATTAAATAAAAAGGCATGCAGTAGGATGAAGGAGGAGAAAGAGGAGGCTAGAGACTGGGTCAGACACAAAGAGACAGTTAGAAAAGTAAAAACAAGTGGAGAAAGTTACAAAACAGTAGACGAGGGATGAGAGAATCACTGGAGCTAAATACAATTCACTGTGACGTGGCCTCTGGCTGCCCTCTCTCTCTATATATACCTCTTTCTCTCCTTGCAATCTTTTGTGTTTGTCTTTCTTTCATGTTCCCTTTTTCTTCATTTCTTCTCTCGCTCTTCTTCCCTCCTCTCTTTGTTTCTAGAGGAGATTGTGCCCTACACTGAATTGTTCTGCAAGGTTTTGTGTCCAAAAGTCTAACACAAATTTAAAAGAGATTCCAGCTCTAACACAAGGTTTGAGTAAACAGGAGCTGGGAATTCTTCAAGGCTTTGTCGCTAAATGGCCATTGGAGACCCCTGGAGGTCAGTAGGCCCTAACAGACAGCAACATAAAATTTAAGGCCTTTAGTAACGCTCTTGGACACTGGGTGATGTTTAATTCCAGCAAAAGTGTATCAATGCTAGAGTTGTTGTAGCATTGGCTACAGTGTGAAGACGCAGTTTGTCGAGGCTGTCCATATCTATAGAATGTAAAGTTAACATTTCTCCAGTATTGACACGAATGGATTCTTGGAAAATGCTGTAGCTACATGTGATTCCCATTTTTATTCGTGACATTATAACTGTGTCAAACTGCACATTATACATTTTAAGTGATATCTATTTCGATATCTCCATTTTAGCAATGGTTGTGCTGTTTCCATAGAGGTGCAGGACTATATATTGCCAAACCAGTCTCACGGCAATTCATGAAATTGTTACGAAACTTAATGTATTGTTTCGTGTCCTGGAACACGATTTGCCCAACTTTTTGTGTTTCCCAGCACAGAATTCAAACCATCCATCCAGCCATTATCTATACACCGCTTAATCCTCATTAGGGTCGCGGGGGGGCTGGAGCCTATCCCAGCCAACTTAGGGCGAAGGCAGGGGACACCCTGGACAGGT